CTGAGCCACCCAGGTGCCCCAGAACTTCTCATTTCTCAGAATCATAATGTTAATATTTAAGGAACATTAAAAATTTTTTTTAACATTTTATTTATTTCTGAGACAGAAAGATAGTGTGAGCAGAGGAGGGTCAGAGAGAGAGGGAGACACAGAATCTGAAACAGGCTCTAGGCTCTGAGCTAGCTGTCAGCACAGAGCCCGATGTGCGGCTCCAACCCACGAACCGTGAGATCATGACCTGAGCCGAAGTGGGCTGCCCAGCCGACTAAGCCACCCAGGCGACCCTATTTAAGGAACATTTTCTAGGTGCTCTGCACTGTGCTAAGTTCTTTTCCCATACTAACACGGGTAATCCTCACAACATTCCTCCTTGGTAAGCACTATTTCTCCCATTTTAAAGACTGTGAGAGGGGGGCACCCAGGTGGCTTAGTCGGTTAAGGGTTGACTCTAGATTTCAGCTCAGGTCACCATCTCATGGTTCGTGGGATCGAGCCCCATGTCGGGCTCTGCACCGACAGTAGGGAGCCTGCTTTGGATTCTCTCTCTCCCTCTCTCTGCCCCTGTCCCTTTACCCCACTCTAAAATTAAAAAAAAAAAAAAGACTCTGAGAGGTTAAGGGGTTCCTGGCTGGCTTAATTGGTAGAGCATGAGACTCTTGATCTCGGGGTCATGAGTTCAACCCCCATGGTGGCTGTAGAGATTTCTAATAAATAAACTTAAAGAAAAGTGGAGTGTAAACAACTTGCATTGGAATTTAAAAAGATAAAAATATATATTATATATATAAAATAAAGACTCCCAGAAGTTAAGAGACTAGCCCAAGTCCATCCAGTTGGGGCACATTTGCTTCCACAGCCCACCCTTACAACCAACGCTGGGCCCTCCCAGTCAGGACAGCCCCAGGCTGGGAAGAAGGCAATGCTGGCTCTTTGAGAACCTGGAGATAGGCTAGACTGAATTCCTAAATGAGTGGTCACTACCTAGCACTAACAATACTACTTAATGATCACTTTCTAGCTGTCAAGCCCTGTGCCAGGGGTTTACATCCATCACCTCATTTAATCCTCCAGCAGCCCTGATAGGCTGATGGGATTGTGACCATTGTGTCAGATGAGGGCACAAAGGCTGGAGAGGGTTAATAAGTCATCAGTGAATGGCAGAGCGGGAGTTCAAACCCAGCCACCCAGGGTGGCCCTGCACCCCAACTATTGTGCCACCCACAGACCTCCTACACCAGTGATCATGACCTGGGGGTGGGCTCTGCTCTAGCACCTTGGACTAGCAGCATCAGTCTGTTTCATCAGGGCTCTTGTTAGAAATGCAGAACCCCAGTCCTTGGCTTAGACCTACTGATTCAAAACATGAATTGCACCACGTTCCCTGGGTACTTCATGGGCACAGTAGGATTTGAGAAGTCCCGGTCTAGATCATATAGATCTTTGCTCCAGTTCTCCAAGGGGCCTGAGACCAGGAAGTACAGGGCAGGGACTGAGGGTGTCTGCCTGAGGGGAGGGGGTGGTGGGTCCCTCAATCATCCCCCCTCCTTGTATCTAGCCCATTTCTCTCTCTCTTATAAAATACTTTATTTTTAAAATATCTCTACACCCAATGTGGGGCTCAAACCCACAACCCTGAAATCAAGAGTTGCATACCCCACGGACTGAGCCAGCCAGGCTCCCCATAGCCCCATCCCTCTTTGGGGTCATCCCGGAAACACAGACCTCAACAGGTGTGAGCCAATGCACATGTTCCCACTGGGTCAGGTGACTCACATGCCTTCCCCAGAGTCCTCCAGAGGGATGGCAGAGGGTCTCACAGGCCAACTCCGCTTCAGCCCACATTCTGAGGTTTGGGAGAATCCCCAGGCCTTCCCAGGAAGGAGTTAAAACAGAGCAAGTTGCACTCTGGTTCCAATAATTCCACTCCCTGGTAGATTTCCCTGGAGTACTTCTTAACTGAATCCCAGTGAGGGAGAAAGCTGGGGGCTGGGAGCAGAGTCAGGCAGCTTGCTTTTGCTGGCAATGTCAGTAAAATCACCTTTAAATGAAGAATACAGTATTGGCTCCCGTTACTGAGCGCCTCCTATGTGCCAGGCAAATCGCGGGGTGTGTTAGTCCTTACAAGCATCCCGTAGAGTAGGATTAAACGCACATTTCACAGGTGAGGAAACTGGGCCCCAGAGAGGTTAACTTGTCCGCAGTCTGTCTCATTATTAACAAATGTCTCAGTTTGCAGCCTCTAAACATAAGCACGTGGAACTTCAGGGCAGGGAACCCAGACATGCTGGACACATGAATACTCTTAGGACCCTGAGCCACTCCCTCCTAAAAACGAGGTATTTGGGGGCGCCTGGGTGGCTCAGTCAGTTAAGTGTCCGACTTCGGCTCAGATCATGATCTCACGGTTCGTGGGTTCGAGCCCCGCGTCGGGCTCCGTGCTGACAGCCAGCTCAGAGCCTGGAGCCTGCTTCACATTCTGTCTCTCCCTCTCTCTCTGACCCTCCCCTGCTCACGCTGCCTCTTTCTCTCTCTCAGAAATAAATAAAACATTAAAAAAAATTTTTTTAAAGGAGGTATTTGGACCCAAAGCACCCAAGGAAGCAGCCTGCAGTGTAGCCGGCCCTGGTCAGGATATCTTTTAATGACAGCATGTGAAACTGCTGGGATGGAAGGCGGGGCATTCATAGCCTCACCTCTGGCCCAAAGCTCAGATGCCCCCGCAGGGCTGGACTGTGTCTGTGAGCAGAGCGCTTAGCATGGCCCCTCCCCATCAGCCCCCTGCCCCCAGCCGGCAAGAGAAGCAGGGGTCTTCAGAGGGCTCCTCACACCTTTCGGCGAGGCACCCTCCCGTGTCACACAACATCTGCAGCGCCTGCAGGCACACGGGCAGGGAGTTATTACCAAAGGAGAAAACTCAGGCAGCTAATCAGCTTTGGAGGTTTCTAGGGACATCAGCTTGTGAAGTGAGAAAAGGAGATCCAGCCACCCGGTTGCTTGGTATCCAAGCATCCCCCCTCCCCCCTGGGTCACAAGTCTTGCGGGGGAGAGGGAGGCTGCATCAGACTGCCAGCGCTCTCGGAGGCAACCCCCCATCTGTCCCCAGGACCCCAAAGGATTAACTAGGCTGACCTCACCCAGCGGCCCTTCCCCCAGCCACTGCCCACAGCTCAGTTTCTCATACTGTGGGAGTTTAAGGAAACCAAACATCTTGAAGGTATTACCATTTATAGAAAAGCACATTTACAATTAGCTATATATAAACACCTGGGATTTATCTCCCAGGATTCTAGGCCAGCAATGCAGGGGCCGGTGTTGACACAAGCCAGAGAGAGTATGGGGGTCATCTCCCTGAGAAGTCTCCTTTCTCTCATGGGCAAATCTCCCCGGGGGCCCCACCCCTGCGTCCACGTCCACGCTTCTCTTCCTCACACCCGGCCATCTGCTCAAGGGCTGCGCCAGCCTTCCCTACACCGCCCAGGGCTGGGGTTGCGGGGTCACTGAGCCAGAAGTGATTCCGTCTCAAGGTGCAGGGCTGCCTCCCAGAGAGCTCCATATGGGGCCTGGATCAGCCTTCTTTAGAACAAAGGGGCATCTTAAACTCAATGAGAGGGCTCCTGCCTCAGAACGGTTCATCACTCACCAGCCATTCCTAGCAACTGTGCAAATGCCCTCAGAGCCAGGAAGAAACTCAGCCGTCAGCCAGGGAAGAGGCAGCATGCCACAGGCGCTCAGCGGGAGGGGGTCGGGTTCAGGCTGCCTGGACCGCAGTCCGGCTACTCTGCCTACTGCAGTGTCACGGAATCCCTCTAAGTCTCAGTGTGGTCGTCTGTAAAAGAAGGGCAAGCACTGCCCATCCCCCTGGGTCATGACGATGACTGAACGAGATGATTCATGTAAAAACATTTAGGCAGGGAGCCCAGGACACAGCAAGCGCTTGCTAAGTGTTAACTAGAATGATTACCAACACCTTTAAGGTGTTGCCTCTTTAAGCAGCCTCTTTAGGGGACACCCCCTCCCCTAGACATATAAGGTTCTGGGGCAGAGAACACTTACCACTTGCTAAAACTTTTGCCCTCTCTCAAGGGCAGCAGTTCTCAACCATGACCGCCCCCCCCCGCCCCCGCACAGCCTGCCACTGCCGAGTCCATAGGTAATTCGGTTTAGACACCCACGAGTGTGCACAGATTAAAGTACAACAGAATTTTTGCAGGACAGTTAGTAGACCACAGCCATACTTCATCACAACTGGCGGTCCATCAGTGCAAGCAAAGCACAATCCTCGAATGTAAACACCTTGCCTGGCCTTTTCTCTCTCATTCAAAACACATCCTATAGCAAGTTGCCACAATGTACACTTTAAATCTCTCACAACTCTATTGTTAGTTATACCTCGATAAAGCTGAAATAAAAAAAAAAACCCAACCCAAGTACATTAGCACAAAGGTGAACGGGGAGTGACGTCATCATTGTGATAACTCAAATTCTTCTGCCATGATTTTTGGAAAACAAATTGTGGACAAGCTTCAGAATATCATTACTGGCATAGTGAGTCCTATCCTACCCAAAAGATTTGAAAATCAGCACGTAATTTAAAATGGCATGTAGCCAAATTACCCTTCAAAATTCTCTTAAATCACCCATAAAGTATGACTGTTGTTTCTTTAAACACAAGAATCCCACTCAATGGCCTAGGTGTTCACAGGCATAGGGAAGCTAAGACACACTGACCCAAGAGTTGGATAAGACTCGCCCTCTCTCTCTCCCTCTCCCCACGACAGTGTTTGGCTACACTCTTGTCAAATTACATTCCAGTTAATTAAATGAATATGTGATATAATTCCACCACCACAAATGATTACTATGTTCCTCTCAACTGACCCATGCTAAGAAATTAGTCCTCCACAAGGCTGCAGAAGACAGAACTGCTCCCCGTGCCCCCAACCCCTAGGCGGACCCTGGATACCCAGTCTCAGACAGAACAGTAAAGGGTGACCACTTACTTGCAGCCTGGATTCGAGCCTTCCGGCTGACCACCAGCCCAAAGCGGTTCTGAGCCACACACTCATAGTCACCCTCATCTGAAGGGTTGCCTCCCCGATCCAGCCGGAAGTGATGGATCACCAGGGACCCATTGGCCAGCAAGGTGGAGTGGGTACTCTTGAGCAGCTCCACCCCATTCTTCCTCCAGGTAATCCGCACCGGAGGGGTCCCCTCCACTCTGCAGCCCAGCACTATAGGCTGCCCAGGGACTGCAACATCATCGCTTGGCTCCACAGCAAATGCCAGTTCAGCCGAGTGGCCAAGACCTGTACGGGGCCGGGAAGATGAGAGGAAAAGGAGACATCAGTGTTCAAATGAACAGGCAGGAAGAACTCCATATACAGGTGTTCCAAGTTCTCTGGATCTGTGCACCCACCCCACCTTTCTGTAATGCTAACAGAAATCTATATTATATATAGAACTTATGGGGCACCTGGGTGACAGTCAGTTAAGCATCCAACTTCGGCTCAGGTCATGATCTCACAGTTCGTGGGTTCAAGCCCCGCGTCGGGCTCTGTGCTGACAGCTCAGAGCCTGGAGCCTGCTTCGGATTCTGTGTCTCCCTCTCTCTCTGACCCTCCCCTGCTCATGCTCACTCTCTCTCTCTCTCTCTCTCTCTCAGGAAGAAATAAAAACATTTAAAAAATTTATAGAACTTACTTTATGCCTTATAAAGTGCCGCCTCATGCAGTATTTTACTCAGTAAGCAGACCATCTCAGAGAGAAAGAGAGAGAGAGAGAGAGAGAGAGATTATTTGTATCATTTCCTCTTTTACAGCTAAGAAAACTGATGCCAGAGAGTTACAAATCTGAGATCCAAACAGTAATGACTGACTACAACACAGCTGCTGCCACATTTGTAGTCACTCTGGCTAAATGCTGAAGCCTCACAGACCTGCAGGGTGTGACGTTAGGTCAAGTGTTCAACCTGTCCTAGCCTCCCATTCCTCATCTGTTTAAATCAGGAACATAGGGGGCGCCTGGGTGGCTTAGTCGGTTAAGCGTCCGACTTTCGCTTAGGTCATGATCTTGCGGTTCGTGTGTTCGAGCCCCGTGTCGGGCTCAGTGCTGACTGCCAGCTCAGAGCCTGGAGCCGTTTCAGAGTCTGTGACTCCCTCTCTCTCTGACCCTCCCATGCTCACACTGTCTCTCTCTCTCTCTCTCCTAGACATAAATAAAACATTAAAAAAAAATTAAAAAAATAAATAAATAAATCAGGAACATAGGGGCCCCTGAGTGGCTCAATGGGTTAAGCGGCCAACGCTTGATTTTAGCTCAGGTCACAATCTCACGGGTTCCTGAGATCAAGCCCCACATCGGGCTCTGCACTGACAACAATGGAGCCTGCTTGGGATTCTCTCTGTCCTTCCCCTGCCCCTCAAAAACAAACAAGCCAACAAACAAACAAATACTTAAGAGAAAATAAATCAGGAACATATTGTGGCTTGTATCATAGAGTTGAACAAAATGAACAGACTCAAAGTCACTATGAAAAAGTAGAAGTTCTGGGTGCCTGGGTGCCTCAGTTGGTTAAATATTCAACTCTTGGTTTCTGCTCAGGTCATGATCTCATAGTTTGTGAGTTCAAGCCCCATGCTGGGCTCTGTGCCAACAGTTCAGTCGGCTTGGGATTCAATCTCTCCCTCTCTCCGTGCTCCTCCCTGGCTTCTTCTCTTTAAAATAAATAAATCAACATTTGGTGGCTGTGGGGGAAGAAAAGGTAGATGTTCTAGGGAAAGATACAGTGAGATGGTAATGAATCGTTGCTTATTTTTGCTGGCAAAACCATCTGAGGCCTGGTCTGATGCCTGGCAGGGAGCAGGATGTGTGGGTCCAGCGCTAGGTACAGTCTAGGCTATGGCCCAGCCCGGCAGCCTCTCCCCTAGGATGCTCTGAGTTTGCCTTGTTCTGGCTGTTTTGCCTTGGTCGTAAGGAGAATTGAAGGGATACCAAGCGTCAACTCAGACTCCCCAAATTTCAGGAAGAGGCAGGTTTCTAGAACCTTTACTCTCAACGACCTCACCACTCCTGTAGAAGAAAACAGCTGGAAGAGAAGGGGAAGAAGGTGATCCGGGAATCAGGAGAACCCCGATAGGAAGGACAAGTGCTCCAATCCCAGGCGTGACGCCAAGTCCGCAACTTCTCCAGCGAGCAACTTACCAGACCAGTTACAACCTCCCTCCAGAAGGAATGAACCCACCTGGTCTGAAAGGGCAGCCACAGACCCTTCGTCACATTTCCAGGGAACAAGCGATCCTGGAGCTGGCCCCTCCCCAACAGACCAGAGACCTCCCTGGTTGGGGGAGACGGAAAGTGGGTGGGGAGAAAGATGGAGGGGGGCTGGGGTTACGGACGATTCCCCCAAACACAGGGATGTGTCATATTTTAAGACTTTTGAGGGTTTACACTCCTTCGAACCCCTACGCACCCTCCCCCTGTCCTGCGTTTCAGCGGCCTCAGCCCCCAACCCCACCCCGGTATAGCTGGCTGTTGAGGGATAAAGTTTCTTCTCCTAGATGCGGACGCGATATCCTTCTCCGGAGCTGGGCACAGAGAGAATACTGCCCGGGCGAGTGTCTGCCGAGAATGTGGGGTGGGGGGGGTGGGGGAAGGGACTAGATTTGCACTCCTCTCCCGTGAGATGGGCCCATTACAGCCACAGAGGGACAGGGTGGCGTTGACGGAGCTCGGAGCAGCAACGCGGGCAGATCCCCGAGCCTGGGGACAGGGGCACTCCGCCGGTGCACCCTCCGGGGGAGGGCGGGCACGTGGGTGTCCCCGCCGCTCTCTCCCTCTCAGCCGGCTCCCCTTCCCCTTCCTCGGCTCGCGGGGTCCGTCTTGGGTCTCCCCTCCCCAGGCGCGGCCCTCCCGGACCCCGCTTCCTCCTCTTCCTTGGTCTCCGCTGCGCACACCGGGTGCCAGTCCCAGTTCCAAATCCGGGACGTGCCCTCTCGGACCCGCCTCCGCCCCGCGATCTGCTGCGTTCGGTCTCAACAGCCTTGGGCTACTCTGGTCCACCCTGCTCGCTCCCTCCGACGGGACTCAGCCCCGCGGTGCCCCGTGGCTCCTTTCTCCCTCTCCCCAACTCTGCCCGCCCGCCTAGCCCCTGCTTTGCCGCGCTCCTCACTTCTCGGTCCGGGCTCGCGTCCTGCGGGAGTCCTGGAGCCGCAGCGCAGGCTCTCTCTTCTGGGGCTCCGTCCTCAGCATCCCCCTGCCGGCCTGGCCACCGGCTTCAGTGCCCTCTCCCCCGGCTCCGCCCTGTCCCGCTCGGCTCCCCTTCTCCGGCAAGACCCTCCCGCCCCGAGTCCGCCGGCAGGTCCGCGCGGCTCTAGCCAGGTCCGCCCCTAGCGCCCACCTACACCCTTCTCGCCCTTTCCGGGGCTCGGTCCGCAGCCGCCCGGGGCGCTCACCGTCGCTCGGCGCGGACAGCAGCAGCGGCAGCAGCAGCGGCAGCAGGAGCCGGGGCCGGCGCGGCGCGGGCGGGCTGCGCGGGGGCGCGGCGCGCGGAGCAGCCATGGGGCTCTCGGTCCGCTCGGCTCGGCGACTGGCGGCTCCGGGGCCTCTGGCGGCTCACAGCGTCCCGCGGGGCCGGCTCCGGGGCCGGGGCCGGGGCTCCGGCCGGGGCCGAGCCCGGGCGGCGGCGGGCTGGGGCCACATGCCTGCCTAGGAGCGCCGGGGGCGCAAGGGGAGCGCCGCTTGCGCCATCTTGCACCCACCGCGGTGATCTGTCAGCCTCGCCCGGGGTGCGCGCTCCGCACTCGCACCGCCCGCGCCCGCCCCGCCCTTCTCCCTCCGCCCGCCACCCCCCTTCCCTCCCCTCCCGGTCCCCTCCCCCAGCCCCTCTCCCCGGAGGCCCGGTCTGGGGAACAAAAGAGCCGGCGAGCGCTTTAAGCGGCCGGACATTCCCGGCTGCGCGGCGGACGCGCCCCCTGCGCTTTGAACTGTGGTTGGAGCGGCAGGCGCCGTCCCGGGCTCCTGCCCGGTACCCCCTGCCCGCGGGCCAGCCCCGGACTTGGGGAGCTGGGGAAGTGGAGACTCAGCAGACTGTCAAGTGGGTCCGGGCTCCGGAGAAGCACTCAAAAAGCCATGGGATTTGCTCTGACCCCACTCTTTCTGCTGCGCCCTCCTCCACCGGTCCAAGTGTCTATTTTCGAGATAATTCCCTAAAAGCTGCACAAACTTGTCAAAGGTTCGGTTTTCCATGGTTTCTGGTCCTGCCAGCTAAAGGCTAGGATGTTTAGCTGCAAGACTGGTCTCTCTAGACTGCAGAGTTCTGGCGCTTGGGTGGACCGGAGGTAGAAGGGGTTAGAAAGGCAGCTTCTCCCAGGGCCCTGGGGTAGCCGACCCAGCAGGACAATGGAACACTGAAGTAACCTGGGTTCCGTCCGAACCCAGTTCTGCCTGCTGTCTAGCCCAGCCAACCCCAGCAGTGACTCTCTGAGCTCATCTGAAAGATAAAGATAATCCTCTCTCTCTCCTGCTCACCCCTAGGGATATTTTTTAAAAACACAGGTCCTACCAAATGACCTGGCAAACTGAAAGTTAAAATTCTCAGTAACATTTCTATGTCACAAAGGAGATTCTAGGTGTTTCATGTCAGAGAACATATGAGGCAACCAGTAAGAATTTTACAGAAGCTATATATCATCTCTTATGAGACACATACCCATGCTAGCCCTCAGAGACCTTTTATTTGGGCCACTCATTAGTAAATGATCTTCTGTTGAGTCCAGCATGATGAGTTAGTCCATCTACTAAGTTCTAGAAGCAGGAGATTTAAAGAGGGTAGTCTTTACCTCACTCAGCTATTTGTTTCTCTAGCATTGGACTGGGATGGCAGAATAACTATGTCTCTCTTTTGATACCAACTGTGGAATCTTGCAATCAGGAGTGTTAATCATACATGAACTTTGGTGCAAATGAATAAAGAAGTGCAGTTCTCCAGAGATCAGATAAATTTACTAATGATGGGGTTTGCGCAGCCCAGGGACTCCTTACTCTGTAGTAGCAATTGGAAGATGAGTCTAAGAGGCACGCCTTGAGGCATATGAGTGAGCAATGAGAGGCAATGGAGAAATTCAGGGTCAGGGGACGCACCAAATCCCAAACCTATTTCATTGTGAGCAAAGGCAGGAATGATGGGCCTCTACGGACCATAAGAAAGGGACAGAAGGTGAACCCCCCCCCAGGCCCAAAGTCCTGGAACTCCCTCCTGCAGGCTTGAATTCTCAACAACCCCTTCTTGGCTTGTCCTAGACTCAGAGAGGTCAAATGGGTCTCCTGAGTTGCTGTCATTTTAAATTCATTTTGACAAGTGTTTAATTCTTCTTTATCACAACGCTTGGTCTGAGAGTGATATGCAAATAACGGCTATTCTGCTGCATGCAAAATGTGCATATCTCTCCCTATGATCTGTCAATTAACATGGGTCGGGCCCACCAGCCACTTTGGGGGTGGTCCTGGACAGGGCAGCCTCTGGCTCTTGGTTCCCTCAGTAGGAAAGCAGGCACCAAGCAGGCTCTGTAAAGATCTTAGCAGAGCAGCTGCCAGCCACATCCTGAGATGCATGTGGGGCTTGGGTGCGGAGTTTGGTGCATGGCTGTGGGGCCATGTCTGAGTTAATGGATACAAGGGTGTTGGTGAAGGTGAGTGTGCGTGCACGGGCACAGTGCCCCTCTGTGTGAGTGTGCAGCCATGAGCAACTCTGGAGACCAGAGTTATACAGACAAATAGTCATTAAGCCCAAATCTCTGGAGTTGCTCCTTCACTGTCTCCTTTGGACCCAAGAAAGTTAAACAAATGTGTGCCCAGATGGAAAGAGATCCCCAGAAAGCCTAAAAGAATGCCATCTAAGAAAGCATCTTTCCCAAGTTTAAGTCTTTCTCCTAAGTGCCTGTTGCGGGAGGAAGATAGCTGAATTCTTTCCCAGGACCACCTGCTCTCTGCCCTCAAAAACCAGCATGTCCCCTCCTGGTAGGAAATACATTCTTTAGGGGAGAAAGGCTGAGGAGATTCTAGTCGTTCCACGTGTTTGGAAAATAGTTTATTAATTCATTATAGGGACAGATACATGATCAATGCCTTGGCTTAACACTAAAGAATATCATATTTGTAAGGAGGAGAAAATATGCTGGAAAAAGAATTAAATAATACAGCATAAACTAAATACAGACAAATAAATGAGCAGGTGCTGATTACACTTGTCATGCATCAAGAAAAGGAAGGTTTCTAAATGAGACTCAAAAAATGTAAGGCATCGATGGTAGGTGACAAAGGGATTAATACCCTGTAAAAGGCCAATAGACTCTTTTCTAATAAAAATACTGCTACCAAGACACAAACCTAACACTTCCAAATTACCCAGGGCCCAAATCATATATAAGGCTAGTGAGTAATGGCCACTTTCTTATCAAGTGTGAGTTATAGGCAGATACCAGATTTATTACTTATTTGCTTTTGAGAAACAATTTTCCACCCAACCTAATGGGTTATAAATTGTCTTATTTGCAGCTATTTAATTTAAACCAGAGCCTCAGTGCCTGTTAAACAAGAACATGAAAAATGACTATGTGGCGTAATGCTAAGAGCCTACTGTTAAAACAGCCCTTTAATTCAGGGCAGTTTTCCCCCCCCTTTCGGAAAAAAAATCAAACCAGCGAAATAAAACGAGGCTTTTGACCTTCAGAGCAATGATGAAACGTATACAGTGGTGTTAGCTACAGCAACGCCGAGTGCTACAGAAATAGTACAAGTGACAATTCTGTCCAAAACGAGAGACAAACCAGCATGAATAATCTTTAGTGTTATCATAGGCTGGCTGGAGGGGGGGAGGGGGCGGGGGAGGAAATGGAGGTGCGCGTGTCAAACGTGAGTGACGCCGAGTGTAATAAACACAGATGCTGAAAGGGTCTGAGGAAGCTGCAACTCTGCTGAGAGACATTTCAGCATTAAAAAAAAAAAAAGAAAGAAAGAAAAAGAAAAAAAAAAGAAAAGAAAGGATAGACTGGTTATTTCCAATTTGGCCCAGAAGCCAGAGTTAACCCTTGATGTGCCAAACAGTTAAAAAGATGCATTTAGGGAGAAAAGTCCCACATTCTATGCTCCTATGAGAGGCTGGGGTGCAAAATCAAATTAACAGCTCATCTTCTCTACACAGGAAGTAGAAGTCCAGCTTGTCCCTGTGTGACAGGTTAACAGAAAATGACTTCAGGATTGAATTTAAAGAAAAAAAAAGTGAAATGAGCCAATTACCCTTGTCCTGTGCAAAGACCTCACTTCCAGCACCTAGAGGGTGCAATTCCTCTCACCCTCGTCCATCAGCTCATGTTCCCAGTGCACAGAGTGGGAAGTTACTGGGCTGCGGTGCCCCTAATCCCCACTCTCCTTCTCCAGCTTTGGCTTCAGCAGGCAAGGAAGGTCCCCAGCCCCCTCCATCTAACAGCCATGCCTCCCTGCCTAGAAGGGAGGGAATCATTTTATCCTGAGCCGTAGGTCACATTCCCCTTTCTCTGTCTCAGAAATCCCCTTGTGTGAACTTGGATCCATCACCTCCAAGGAGAATCCTCCTATCTCAATCCCAGGGAGAGAGAGGGATGCAAGGGAAACTGGAAGGTCATCTCCAAACCCGCGCTGGGGGGGCGGCAGTCTGCCTGGGGAGGGGGCATGTGGTGGCACAGAGAGAAGAGGGGCAGGAAGATGGAGAGTGGAGTGAACTGCGGACACAGAAGTCACGCTATGGCCTCAAAGCAGACATGAGGTAGTCATGTTGTTAGGGAAGGATGCAGAGATTGAACCCAGGCAGGTGAACCACAGGATGCAGTCCGGGAGAGGTGTGAGAGACAGCAGGGACAAACAGACAGGAGACAGATGGACAGCAGAGAGGAAAGGAAAAGAATATCAGGGAGGAGGAGCAGGGTGGAGAACTGTGAGAGCAGGCTGACGGGAGATAGAGCACAAGAGCAGAGAAGGGGAAGGGAGGAGAGGAGAGCCAGAGCAAGCGGAATTCCAAAACCAGGCACTTCCCAAATTACAGAATGAAATGCAGAGTTGCTCTGAGGGGAGCCAGAGTCCCCCTCTCAATCCGGGCGATGGGCGCGGGAGATGGGGAGTGATGCAACTGAAATGTTGGGCATTCAGAGCCTACTGCACTCAGCCCAGCCAGACGGGAAAATGGGCCGGGGCTGTCTTTGTCAGACAGGGCATTGCAGACACTCTCAGAGTGTGTAATAAACAGCTAGGTGGCGGAGGTGTGGGGGCCCACAGGGCTGGGGATTGCCCACTCTGGGCCACTGTCCTGACCTGGAGGATCAGTTAGGCCATAGTGACCGCTGCCTAGACCGGAGTTTCTCAGCTCACCAGCCAGCACGTGCACATGTGCACATCACATATGGCCATGCCTCACAGGTCCCTCACATGTGTCAGGGTGTGGGGGGGGTGAGTACTCCATTTCTTCTTCTCCCGGCAGCCAAAGCACCCCAGGAAGCTCCAAATGGCTTGTTGATGTTCAGGACCTGCACGTATACATGTGTACATACTCTGCCACACGTCCCATGTCCCACGATGCCATACCAGCCCGCCCCCAACGGCACCCTGTAGGGGAGCTAGGCAGAGGAGGAGACTGGGGCTCTGGGCAGGCCTGGGCTCGTTCCTAACGCGCAGGGGGCCTTTGGCTGGCAGCTGTTCCCAGGGGTCTCCTCCAGAGCCTCACTGGGCTGGAGGTCCGGGTACGGATAAGAAGTGTTGGC